AGGAGGTGGGAAAGAAGGAGGAGCGAACATACATATGTTCATCATTGTTCATTCCCCTGGTCACCAAACTCTTAGCACTCACTAAGGCCAAGCCCCACACCAGGTGCCAGGGGTTTATCGGGGGCTGTGCATTATTGAAATAATGAAGCAAAGTCTCCTTCTACCTCCCAAGCTAGGACCACCCCTGCCCATCCTGTGGGTGAACACAGAGCCACTAGGATTCCTTTGGCTCTAAGTGTGCAGGGACTTAAGCTCTCCTTGCTCCTCCTTCATTCCCACTTCACTGGGGAGAACTCCCTGACTGCTCTGGCCTATCCCTGACCCACTTGCCCAGGGTTTATACAGACAGCACCTCAACACCTGGGGAAACTGAGGTGCAAAGGGAATGATTGCTTAGTGAGCACCCATTACACACTGGCTGCTGCCGCCTAACTCAACCCCCATTTCATACACCAGACACTGTGAATTTCAAATATGCAAATCAAGGCCGTAATATAAGATCATTTTACACTCATTCAATCATGAAAAGTCAGGATGTCTGAGCACACTGAGTGTAGGTGCGGGTGGGGAATAATGGGGATACTCATCTCCTGCTGGGGGAGGCATAAACGGTCCAACCAATTTGGAAAACACTGTGGCGCATTTCCTAGTAAAGCTGAGTATGAATATGACCTACGGCAATTCCGCTCCTAGCTGTGTGCCCCAGAGACGCTCTGCCTGTTGTCTTAGGGGAAGGGACAAGAAAGTTCACCGCAGCACTGTTTGTAAGAGTAAAAAGGGAAACAACTCACATGCCCATTAATAGAAGAATAAATACACTGTTTATGCTCAAACAACAGAACATTATGCATCAGTGAAAATGAATGAACTACATTTATCATTATTTGTAACAATATAGATGAAACTTAGGCGTACGGTGTTGAAGAAAAAAGGCAAATTCCAGAGGACTGCACGGTTTCATGTTCCTTTTACAAAGTTCAAAACTAACTAAAACTGAACAATTTCTCTATATTAAAATGTGATTTTTAAAAGGCAAGGGAATACTAAATAGATAATTTAGGGTAGTGGCTGCCAAGGGATGGGGTGAGAAGAAACACATGGGAAGATGCGTATCGTTATTAAAGTGCTAGCGTTCAGGTTAGGGAGTAGGGTCATGGTGTTCATTTTTAACAGACCATGCCTGGACCGGTGAGCAAGAGTCGCAGACCAGAGCTCAGGAAGAAGGCATCCTAGACTGAGCCCCATGCTTGTAAGCTGGGGTCTTTGGGCAAGTTGTTCTACCTCTCTGGCTCTCAGTTTTCTCAGCTATAAAATCAAATCTCTGTACCACCTACAAGGCTAAGATTGAGAGCACATCACTGATACAAACTATGAGTAGCTAGCAGTTCTGGAGAGTTTACTGTGTACCAGGCACTGTTCTAACTGCCTTGCACACATGAACACACTTAGTCTTCATAATGGCCCTCTGTTATCCTCACTTTACGGATAAGGAGACTGAGGTCCAAAAGATTAAGTTACTTGCCCACAGTCACAGAGCTAGGCAGTGTGGAGCTGAGATTTGAACCCAGGCATCTGGCTCCAGGTACCAGACTCAACAACCTCACTATAAAATGACACTAAAGGAACTGAACACAGGAGGAGGGGACTGTTGTCAGAACAGCTCTACTGGGTCCACAGAGCCCAAGGATATTCATTCATTCATTCATTCAACACATAAATGAAGGTCAGCATCCCTCAAATGCATTTGGAAATGAACTTGCCTTCCCACTGTCTTTCTACAAAAAAACCGTCCCTGATTCTGGAATCCTGCTTTCTGTGTCTCTGCCAAATCTTTTACTGCCTCAAGAGATACCCAGTCTCTCTCTCTTCCTGGAGGACCCCTGACTGCCACAGCCCACAGGAGCAAATCCCATCATTCTCTGAGTACCAGTGTGTGCTACTGAATACCCTGCCTTTGCTCTCCCCAACCCCTGCCTGGGGCATCCTTGACACCACCTACCTCTGTCCATCCATTGCAGGCTGAAGACACTGTGTTCCTGCCAGGTAGTTTTTGCTACCAGAATCAGATGCTCCCTGGTGCCTCCCAGCATCTTTCCTATCCCCAAGGCCAGGCAGGGGAGCCCAGGGGATGGGTCCAGGATTGCCCCGGGTGTTCAAGGCAATCCATGGGGGCCATGGGAGTGCCTAGCCCAGAGCAGAGCAGGCAGCTCAGCCAGGATGTGTAGAATAAATGCATGAATGAATTGGCTGGTACAATATTAGGTGCAAACCGGGCACCGTAGGTGCGTGGAGGAGGAGGGTGAGTGACGTGGAGCAGTCAGGGAGGCTTCCTAGAGGAGGGGCCAGGAGAAGAGAAGACCTTCTGGGTAGGTCTTCTCACAGCTAGACCAAGAGACCCCCAGCCAGCAAAACCAAGGCTCTCACTCTGAAACCACCACCACCTACAGCCTCCCCTCCCTGGCCCTTCCCTAGTCCCACAGGACCCACCTCCTCAACCCTCCACCCGACACACCGCCTCATGCCTCCATGGGACCCTGTGCAAACCACTGCCCTGCTTCATCTCTCAGC